TTATATCACCTTGTGTAGGATTTGTTGATGATGATAATAAATTAGTTGCCTCATACATAGGTTGTAAGATTATTGATAATTTCTAAAAAAAAAACCATGAAAGTTAATAATTAATTAAAAAGAAAAATTATAATTATTATAAAATAAAATATATCTTAATATGATGTCATTCAGAAATTACTGGAAATAAACCATCAAGTTTATCAAAATTCATTGTTGTAAGTATTTCTGAAACATCCTGCATTAAAATTTGTTGAGATATCATTAAATATGTAGAATTCCAACGGGTTTCTACATCTAAAATTGGTTTTTGAATTTAACTTTCTTAAGAGTATAAATTTCTGATAATTTGTCCAATAGCAATGGTGAATTTTTTACTTTAATGACAAATTGGCAAAGCTTTTTAATTTCATTTCCAACAAATTTCATTCCTGCTTATACTCCTAAATTAATTATATGGGTAGCACATCGATAATGATTAAAGTTTATATTATTAAATTCTTGATCTAGTTCAAATGCTAGTTGATTACCACATGCTATCATATTGCCTCCATTATCTGTTGTTAATGCAAGTATATTATTACTAATTTTGAATTCTTTAAGAATTTGTCAAAGGTTACAAGTGATTAATTTAGCAGTATGAAATCCTTTAATAGGAATTATATCAAGCAAAAAATTTTTCAATTCCCAATTAAGATTGATATAATGCATTGTTATTCCAAGATAACAATCCTTTGAAACATCTGAAGTCCATATGTCTGTTGTAAGAGATACCTTCGAATTAATTTGAGAAATTTCACCTATTAAATCATTTTTCTTTATACCATAGTTTTCCATAAAATTTTCTTTGAAAGTTTGTCTGCATGGTAAAATATAACGAGGATCCAATTTGTTGATTAGCAATATAAGTTCAGGATTTTCAACAAAGGTAAAAGGTTGTAAATCAGTTGCAACATAATCAACCAAAAGGTCTGTAATAGGCTTTGATTGTAATAGAGAATAAGGTTTAAAGCGCAAGGTAGTTTGACAAGGTTCGGGTTTTTTGTATAATGTTGAATGTTTATTTATTAAATGGCGTCGAAGAGTAGTTGTTGGATTACCAGTTGAATAAAGTTTCGCACATAAAATGCATTTGTAGTTTTTAATTGCCCCATTTTCCTCATCTTGAACTCTATGAAAAAATTCCCACACATCTGAATTGTGAGCTTTTATATTTGTGGGAGTTTCCTCTTCAGTTGCCAAAGAATCGGAGGTAACATCCGAATTATTGTCGTCATTTTGATCATTTTCAAATAAAATTACGCCAGACATAGTTGCTCAATGAATGACATGAAAATTAAAAAAAAATCTTATTTAAGTTAGACGCGTAAAAACGCGTGGATAATCATTTGATAATCTAATTGAACCGGTCTTTAAGATCGCAGTCTGTCGATCTGATCTCAGTCCAGTCTACCCCTCAAACTGGACCGAAACCGGTCCTATGATCAGGACCGGTCCGAACCGTCCAACGTTAGACCGTTAACATCTCTAGTTCTAATCTTATTTTCCGAATAAGTCATTTTGTAACTTTCATTTTTTTTAATTTTTTAAAAACAAAAAACTTATCTGTTAAGAATGACATTAGAATGCTGGCAAGAAGTCATTAATGATTATGAAAAGTTGCTTGAAATGGACGAAGGATATGATGTTATAATATATACCAGCGTAGATGAAAACGATAAAGAGCTACATGCCCATAATGCCTATTCAAATATATTACGTATCAGGTCACGATATTTTCGTAATGAACTAACTAAAGAAAATATTGTGAAAAAAGAAGGAAGATTTATTATAAAGATACCCAATATTTCTCCAGAACTTTTTAAAATGATCTTAAGGTAAATAATGTAACAAGTATATCTCGATACGATAATTATGGAACTAGGTTATTAATATTTTTTTTTCAGATTTATATATTGTGGAAAGATAGACTTGACGAAATTAGAAGGACCCGAATTATTAAATCTGTCAATAGCAGCAGATACACTTAATATCCAGTCTTTAATTCCCAGGATTGAAGAATATTTAATTAAAGACCAACATGTGTTTTTGCAAAAAAATCCTATAGATACTCTTGAAATAATTTATCAACACGAGATTTTTACAAAATTATGGAATTTTTATCTTGAAAAAATTAGTGAAGAACCCGAAAAATTATTTAATTCTGATAAATTTATCAGTATAAAAGCATCTTTGTTGGAATTACTTTTGAAGCGGGATGATTTATGTTTAGAAGAAATTGATATTTGGAATAGTTTAATTAAGTGGTGTTTTGCTCAGAATCCATCTGTTCCTAGAGATGCAAACAAATGGAGCAAGGAAGAAACTACATTTATGGAAAGAACCCTTCATAGATATATTCCTTTGATTAGATTTTACAATATATCTTCGGAAGAATTTCTTGATAAAGTATGTCCTTTTAGGGATTTGTTACCAAGAGATTTGGTTAATAATCTCTTGGCATTCCATCTGGTACCAAATAGGAAATTGGATATTAATATACAACCACCTAGAATTTCGAAATGTGGTTCGATATTAGTTAAATCTCATCACTTTACAGCATTTTCGAGTTGGATTGATAAGAAAGAAAATTTACATTACAATGGAAAAAGGATTCCTTATAAGTTTGACTTACTTTATCGTGCCAGTAGGGATGGCAATACAATTGCAGCATTTCATCAAAAATGTGACAACAAAGGGGCTACTATAGTTATAGTAAAAATTAAGGGAACGGAACAAATAGTGGGAGGATATAACCCACTTGTGTGGGATCAATGCAATAGTTATAAGTCAACTAATGATAGTTTTATATTCTCATTCGTAAATAGAACAAACCTTCAAACTGCAAAAGTAGGTTATATTATTAATAATGGTGCTCAGCATGCTATTTATTGTCATCAAGATTATGGTCCAATATTTGGAAAAAATCATGATATATGGTGGAATAGTAATAATAATTGGAATTCTAATAACCCAAAGACTTATTCTCAAATTGATATTCCAAAAGGTCAGTTTCAAGTAGATGATTATGAAGTATTTCAAGTTAATAAAAAGTAAATCTTAACTAGCCAATTATTAAAAGTTTTTCATTTATAATGATCGTGATGAATTTTGGGCACTATTGCCTTGTAATTATTTATGATAATATTCTCAGTGAAAAAAATAGAGTGAGAAAGATAATGATCATCTAAAGAAAAAATTTCTGAAGTTAGATTCTAGAAATTTTTTTTATGGAATAACCTTTTCCTCCGTTTATATTTGTTAAATTAATATTTTTTATTATTTTTTGGTTCAATTGTATATTATTTTTAAATAGTTGAGATAATAATGTAGCTGTAAAATAAAGCATATTTAAAAGCTAGTATCTTATCAAGAACATTTCATGAACATTTATATTATTTATATCATAAAAAAAAAATAAACGAACAATTGTAGTCAAATTCTCACAATAAGAGGATTAGGTCGAAAGAAAAAAAATCATAACCATGTTTCGTCTAATTGCCTTAATTGAAATATTGCCTCTAGATATCGAGTCTCCAGGTACCACTGACGCGTTACTAGTTTCCAAGTTAACTCATTTTCGCTAGCTCAAATTGATAACAAAACAGAAATGGACTTAAATGCAGCACAATTATACGTACAAAAATGCTCAAGTTTAAGATTTCACCCCAACATACTTGTATCATGAAAAAAAAATTTTCCAAAATTTTTGGAAGAATCAAAGAAATAAATATGATTGGTTTATTAACTTAATAACAATAACAACAATAAATATAAAATTTACATGTTAAATTTAATCAATCAATCTTAATAACTTGAAATACTTCATAAAAATCAACCTGAAAGTTCCTTGGGATGTTAAGATTAGGATAAGAATTTGGTTTTGAACTCCAAGTACCGTCTGGATGCATCATTAAATCATGACTAACACCACACCAATATCCAAAAAGTGGACCCCAATCGGGCCAACAACTCACAGCAAATGGTGCATTAATAACCCTACCCAAATGTGCCGAATCCAAATTCTGATGATCATCAAAATGAAATATAAAACTATCCGGGGAATTCTTGAAAATACTGTTTCCTGCCCAATTAATTGGGTTATATCCTCCGACTAAATGATTTGTCCCTTTGATTTTTGCGATTACGATATTCGCTCCTTTGGCATCACATTTTAGATGAAATACGGCGGGAGAAATTCCATCTTGGCTACTACGTAAAAGAAGTTCGAATTCATATGAAACCTCTCGATATTTTTTATAAGGTTCATCCTTTCTATCAAACCAACTTGCAAATAATTTAAGATGTTCTTGATTCAAGATAAGTGAATCAATTTTTGGTAACCTTGACGGTAATGAACCTGAAATCCTCCTTATACTAGGAACCAAATATAGATGTAAGATTTCAGATTTCAACTTTTTCGGTAACAATTTTTTATAATTCAATACTTTCTCATAAAATTCCTCGGAAGTGATATCTTGAAATCTAATCAATGGTATAAAATTATGTACGGTTTGTTTCATCGTTTCAACTTCCTCTCTTGTCCACGCAGAAGGATTACGATTAACATTTGGATTTTGTGCATGGGCCCATTTAATTAAATTGTTCCAAATTTCAATTTCCTTTAACATAAGGTCATCTCGATTCAAAAGTGCTTCAAAAATTTGTGCGGGTAATGACAAAAATGAATATTTTTGAAATAAAATTAATGGTTCCTGGCAAACCTTTTCCAATGATAAGTCTTGTAACGCTTCGAAGCTTTGATTCTCGAATATTAATTTAAGATTTCCAACTGGGTCAACTTTTAATTGATTATTGATAAAGAATTCTTGAATATGTTCGACGAGTATAGAAAGTCCAAACTCATCGATAGCTATTAATAACTTTAAAATATCTATAGCATTTTCAAAATCCAGTTCGATTTTTCCGCAATAAAAATATCTAAAAAAATTTTTTTTAAATTATTTTGATTTTGATTTAAATTATTTTTTATTTTTTATTTTTAAAAAAAAAAATGTCGTACTTGAGCATCTTGTTTACAATGTTTGGTGTAACATTCGGCTTTTTAAATATATACATCCCATCTCTCTTTTCGGCCCAGTCGTTTGAAAATGCTGCTTGAAAGTAAGTTGATTGACAACGAAGAATAATTGAATGGGCGTAAATTTCTTGAGCATTCGGTTCTTCTCCTGCGTAAATAATAACATCACAATTCTCTTTAGTTTCATAAAGTTGTTCGAAATTTTTAATGACTTCTGGCCAAAATTTTGATTCCATATTCAGAAAATTCAAATGAGAAAAAAACATCAAAAATCAAAAAAATTTGTGCTTTTATTTCTTTTCATGAGCCTTGTGATACCATGACACAGTGGCTAACTTCGTGCGACTATCTTTTTTTTTTAAAAAAATTTCCTCAAAGTTTTCGGAGTTGTGTATTTATTGTACGTATATTAATTAATGTCAATAGTTATAAACTTTCCATTAATTGCTTAGATGCAAATGGATCATTCAATAAACATTTTTAACATTTTTAGGATAAATCCCGTTTATAAATGTAAATTCTTTATTTTTTTTTTTTTAAAAAAAAAGATGGAATAGTTATAATTGTAAAGCAATTAAATTATGATACAAAAAGGAAAATCTTTATTTTTTTTAAAACATTTCAAATATAATATACAGTAAAATCTCATTACAATGAACGTTGCACGATGTTCACTATAACATGATCCAACCGCAACTATTAATTATACATCGCGCTTACTAGTGCCGAATATAAATATATATCTATCTATCTATTATAAACATTGATCATGTAAAGTTTGAGAAGGAAAATCTAGTACGGGAAGATTTTTATCTTGTACAAAGAAGCCAACATTACCTCCGAGGGTAGTTTCGATGTGTGGTTGAGTCTTTCCTTTACATCCACTTTCTTTTCCAACCGAAATTGTTGTACCAAGAGTTGTAACTAATTGAATTCCAGTTTTAACAATAAAGGCCCCATTAAGCACATCTATATTTAAAGCCAATTGCGGTTTTAATGAACTAGTAATGTCAGTTGAACCGGTGACACCAACCGATGGATCATGTGATTTGGTTTCAGGTTCAAATCCGGATTTTTCGATTTTTGGATCGTCGATAAGTGTGGCCTTAACGTTAAAATTTGGTAAATTTATTTCACTTCCAGTTGAAATGGTTCCCGTCACATCAGCCGATATCTTAGCCGAAGCAGTAAGGATCAATGAAGGTCCAATATTAAAAGTGTTTGGTACACCGATGGGGGTCAAAGGAAGGTTGAGGAGTTGAAGATCAGGTGAAGAAATGACGGTTCCAAGTTTACCATCAAGAGAAAGGTCAAAATTCATTTTAATATTTCCGTTAAGAGAAATCGAGGCTTCGTTTATTTCAACCTTTTCATCGACTTTACCCGCGATCCTCATTGAAATGGTAGCTTCACCACTCATAAAGCAATTTGCACAAACTAATGATTCACTCGTATTCTCCTGTCCTACTTCAACGAGTGGAATGTTTGGCTTTGATGTTTTTCCAGTTTTTTCATCAAATAAAAGATTTAAATCTAATTTTTGACTAATGTCAATCGGAAGTTTGCCCTTATCTTCATCTTGACGACGATTTAATCTACCTCTCTTATTTAAGCCACGACGGTCTCTACGTTTGTTCGTTTTACCATTTTCCCATGAAACTTCTACAAGAAATTCATTGGACCATTCTAAAGGGTCGCAACTCTCTGATGTAAAGCTTACTCTTTTTTTAGGAGCGTCAACTGTCTTGTTTCCAACCATAAAATATTGTGTGCTGGATTTGCCAAAACATTCCCATTTATGCGAAACCAATAACATGACTTTATCGGGCCAATTTTTAACTTGTTCTATCGATTTCTCATCATTCAAACTGAGAGTGATTTTATCTTTACCACATTTAATATTAGTTACCACTCCGCTTTGATCGGGGTTGAATGATGGTACTTTGGTTTTAAAATAAACCTCTGCTTTATGATGTCCATCAGATTTAGATGTAGTTTTTTGTTTATAAATGCTACGAAGTTCAGAGGATGGTACAAATCCTTTGTTGCTTGATTCAACGACAAAATCAGCTCCAGCAAAGGAAACGATTCCAATGAGTAAAAGTGAAAAAGTGAATCTGACCATTTTTGTTCTTGGTGAGTTTTTTAAAGAAGGATTGTAGATTATTTATTCAATTGGGGGTTTCGAGGATGATAAAAAGGTATATAAAAGGTGATGATGGTAATGGTTTAGAAGGGAATGTCGTTGATATATGTATCCCCTATGAATAAATAGACGTCTCCAACGTCGTCAATATTGTATTAAAAAAAAAGTATTTTTTTTTTTGAAACTTTTTCGGATATTTTGTTAAAAAAAAAAAGAATCATGATGCGCATACATATATATATATAAAAAAAAAAAAACCAAGAAACCATTTTGAATTAACCGACTGACATAGAAGCCCAATTTGGGATTATTTGACACCTTTATTCGGCCGTTCAATTCCCTTTTATGTATATGATGATCATAAGCCTAGTTTTAAGAAGGGAATGGTACATTGTTCTCCTTGTGAATACCCAGAAAATTACCTATATTGTGATTCAAAAGCAAGTAAAAAAAAAAAGTTTCAAATGATCAATTCAATTTTTGAAACGAATAGAAGTTTCTGAAAATTTTGTCCTGCATACCTGCTTATCTCTCAAATTCCTTTTAAAGAAGTAAAGAGATAATACTGTAAATAGATAATATCGAGAAGTTTACGCAACAGTCCAGAAAATTCTAGATTTACCGGTGGCTGAACTTCCAGTGTAACGAGTTTTAAATGTGTTTATTCTCTAAAAGGAAAATATAAATTACATACAAGTGCAAAACACGTGATTCAACAAAAGATTTTGGTGCGATACAATTTTACTCTGCTAAAGTAATTCGACGATTTCACCAAAGTTATATATGACACCACTCTCTCTTTTATGATGGAATGGAAGAAAATTTAAAGAAAGTTACCGTTAACAAAGACCGGCCGATGATAACACTAGCCCCACCCATGACTACTTGAGTTACACGGCTGATTTTTCAATTGGTTAAAAAAAACTTTGTTCGACTTCTTCGGCTTAATTTTGTACAACTTCTTCATACATAATCTCTTTGTTAATTATAATAATGTTATTAAAAATTTAAATTTAGATCAATGCATATTATAAAACGAAGGGCTCAGTGATGCATGACAATGATTTTTTTTTTCATAAACAAACAAATCTTTTTATTATAATTATTAATCAAATATCAATCGAAAATTAGAAATCACTCATTATTATCAGTTTATCGGTTATTCCCTCTGATCAGATATTGCATTTTAGCATTTGATGTAGGATTTATGGGTCACGAAATAAATTTTCTTCGGGTGAGCGGTTCACTAGTTTCAATTACAGCCAATTGTGGAAATCATGGCTTGCCTCGAGAAAAAATAAATAAAAATGATAAAAGATCAGATAACAATACTTATTTCTTATTCGTTTATTGATATCTAAAAGTTATTTTTCACTTTATTGATTATTATTTGTGCATATCGTTGTAATCATAAATAAATTGAAAAGCAACTTGGGTAAAATTGTAAAACAAAAATATTTCCTATCTAACGGTTACCAAAACTTAAGAGTTTTCGAAATATCAAAAGTCAAAACTTTTCGAATTCAAAATTATTATCAACAATCGAAGATTAAATTTAAAATTTGTAAACGCCTGAATTTACCGGAATAAAATCAAGTATATTAAATTGATTTGCGAATTTAATTATGGTTCGAAAAATTCAACAGGTTTCAGTAAAGGAAAGTTAAAAGTTGCATAGCCACCATCAAGGATTCCGTTAATTGCAATGTTACTATTTCTTATGACAAAACAAAATTTAAATGTTATCAAAATTAAATGAACTTTCTTTAACAAGTTCAAAACAAAATCAAATAATCATTCATACTTTCAATAATTAAAAGCAATAATTGCTTTTAAAAGCGGACCTTCCCGTACTTGCATAATTATTAATTACCTTTATTTAAACAGGGGCGAATATTTAAATTGAAAATATACATATTTAATTGGTTTATACAAACAATAAAATCCTTCTACTATTTACCTTTACCTGAGGATGAGATGTAAATATCGAAGGTATTGTCAAACTGTGAAAGATAATACGGTATGATCACGTGACTCGTTTTTAAATTTCGAAATTCGAAATTTTTTTTATTTAAGGAATTGTTTCAGAATGAACAATGGTTGATGTCACATTGCTTACAGCTGCTTTGGTCACATCAGGAGAATCTTGATCTTTTTGATGAACCAATTCACTTTGTAATATACCAATTAAAACAACTAGAAAGATTAAATTTGTATTTATGTTTGCAATGAAAGCTTGAATTTTTGATAAAACAATCGTAGACCAAATTGTGTCATGCCAAAACGCCAAGAAAAAACTTGTAAATGACCAAAATGCAAATGTCATTATTGCAGAATAATTAAATATTTTCATCTTTCTTATATGATATTTAAACCTATTATTTCTCGTTTCAACTTCTCCTTTTTCACCCTCTCTTGATAAAATATACATTTTATGTATATTACTTCCTTCAATTCCATTCTCATCTCTAAATAATTCCGTAATGTGAGTTTCTTGACAGGCCTCGGCTATTCCACCTTGCCCTTGAACTAAATCAAAACTTTGTATCGTCAAATTTATTAAAAGTCTTCCATATATTCCATATCCTATTACCAATAATATACTAGAAATTCCATATGCAACCAACCTTGTAGAAATGAATACATCTAATAAGAATTTATTTTCTTTCATTCTGAAATATCCTGACAATATTGAAGAACCGTGTGCTACTATAATTAACGTGAAAGTCATTGACCAAAACAATGATTTTATTAGAGATATGGTTGGTACGCATATGGTTGTATTATTTTCGGAAGGTTGAAAGAATGCCATACGAGGTAATGTACGAAATACACCCGCCAAATATGTATAAACGGCCAGTTGTGATGTTATCCATTGTGCGTCTGATATCATCTCTCGATATATATAATTCGTTGGAAGCACATCAATTATGAAGGTTATGCTACATACGACCCTTGCTGTAAAATCAAAAGTGATACGAATTAGGTGTCATGTCCACTTTTTGTTTTAATTTACGCATTTGACGTACGTACCTAATCCACACAACATAGAAAATCCTAAAAATCCTTCCAAAGGTGCTATTATTCCATTAGACAATAAACTCTTCTCTTGATGAGTCAACAACCTTCTGATTAAAATCCCCTAGAGAATGGAGAAAATATTAACTTTATTCACTTGAATTTCCGGGTTTATTTTTTTATTTATTCAAAGTTCATTACCACTTACGCCAGCTAAAAGGGTGAATATAACTGCCGTTATTAGATTAACATAATATGTGATTATAAAATATTGCGATTCATAACATTCTGTTATATAAATTGGCCATCTAACGAAGAGAAAAAATAAGAAAATTTTTTATTTTATTTTCGAGCTGAAATTCAAATGAAAATGATTAAATAAGCTATTAGAAAACCTACTGGCAATACAATTTATTGTTTATTAAGTTTATAGGTTGGTATCGATCCATATAAATTTTTTAAAAAATTAATAATTAAAAGGTTTATAAAGTTTATTCAATAATAAATTTAACCAATATTTTGTTTTTTTTGCGTAATCATTCAAGGCATTAAGACTTTATTTTTTATTTTCTTCCTTATTCTTGCTTTTAATTAATACAAGTATTTTAATTTTTTATTACTTTTATTGAGCAGTGGTATGTTAAGAAAAAAAAAATGTAGATTTTCGGAATTTATTTATATATTTTTTTAATCAGAACTTATTCGATCCATTCGTGGAAGATGATAATATAGCGATAATGAAATGGATATGACACAAGTGTAAATATTAATATCAAGTTTTAAATATCAAAGAGTTTGTGTGGCGGGAAGACCTTGATTTGTTAAATTAAAAGATATCGGCCGGTTTATTATACCGATTAGATACAAAGAAATTTCTTGTTCAAGCCACCTTTATGGGAGTTCTTAGATATTAAGTTCGTGTAATTGATGTTTAAAATCGTGTAACCCACACGCATTGCTTCTTTAATGTTGTTATTAATTCGTGTAATGACGCATAAAATCAAATTTCGTAATTTTAAATACTTAGTATGAGCTAAATATAATTTGACGGACCCCCGCGCTTATCTGTTGTGAGGCCCTTCATAATATTTTCAAGCAAATATTTATTATTTCTTTGTTTGTCATTGTTCTATACAGAAATACAAATCCCATGAATATACAACTCATGATATTTTATCAAATATTATTAAAAGATCAAAGATAGTTTCAACCGAATGATGTTCCAAGAAAAATAACATTCACATCTTTTTATCTATCTAAAGTTTCATTAATAATTCCGTTCATTAATTAAATGAGCAGTTTAATTATAAATTTCCGAATTTAGTTTAGTAAAGCTGTATTCAATGTAAATCCGCATTTTTAATCATCACATCGTACACCATCATTATATATACTTTGTCAATCTTTGCCACATGCGGTTAATCAACAATAAACTCCAATTAAGTCACATGTAAAATGTCGCTATAACATTTATTAATAAATAACTCCCCCAGAACCCGTATTTTATGTAAGGATAATATAGAAACTTAAGTGTATTACTTGAATATTCTAAAGCAATATTTCTGCACTCATTTTTGAAAAATATTTGAAAGTCATTACTAAATTCAAAAAATTTTTAGCAAATATCTTATGAATTATGAATATTTATTAATATTTGCTTTTATCTTATTTCCATTCTAAAGCCTTGTACATTATTTTACCGATTTGTTTCTTTTCCGAATTCCTCAAGCAATATCAGCCGATTAATTTTATGAAGAAATGTCCGAATTTTTGTTCGTTGGAAAAAATGCCATACAGTCATGAAATAGAACCAAACCTATTGTATACATGATTTGTTGTAATTTGTCGAACCTTTGACGAAGAAAAGTTTAATATGAACTTGAAAAAAACCAAAATATATCTTCTTTATTAGTCATTTGAAACAATAATTTATTATTGCGCGATAATCTAAAGAGAAGTTA